TTTGGAAATTTTTTACTGTATGCATTAAATGCTTGCATATTTACATTTACTATCCAAATATGATCTTAAAGATTTTTTCCTTAAATAATTATGCAATGATTTTATTGATATCCATTATAATTAATATTTGGCGAGTAATATTTTTTAACCTTTATTTAATTATATAACACTAATATCTTTTAAGAAAATAATATTATTTATTATTTAAAAGATAATGATCACATCATTAAATGATTTTATTGATGGTTAGATAATAAAATTATAGTTATTCTTTAAAATTTCGACATGTTATTTATTTGTATATTATTGTCAACTATGATAGTGTTTTTATCACTTTTTTTTTGTTATGTTTCAAAAATGAACTTATTGTAAAATATTTTTCTATTGCATAGTATGTTAAATAAACTATAAAGCATTAGGATTAAAATTAGAAAAAAATCTCTTGATTATGTAAGGGATTTATTTTTTGGCAAGCTAAATCTCTTTTTTTAAAAGGAATTATTATGAGAAAATTGAATTCTAAAAAACACGTGTGTGTATTTTGTAAACATTTATACTCAAAATTTTATTTTAAATTTCATTACATAAAGAAGACTACCTCTATAACTTTTATAAATAATAATACTTACATTATATGACTGTAAATTTTATAATAAAATAATAATTGAGTATTATATGGTGAACAATAATTAATAATATTTTTATTTTTTCCTATGTCAATGAATAAATATGTATTCTAATGTCAAATAAATATTAGTATGACGTGTTAGCAGAATTATATATTAATTAACATGTTAATTTTTTGGATTAAATAAATGTCACTTATTAAAAGATGTGAAATATGGATGATCCAAGCCTATTGTTTTTTTGTCTGGACGTACAAGTCCTATAAAAATAATTGATTTATTATATGTATCACGTGCATCACACGGGGTATGCACTAATAAATGACCTTAAAATTGTGCACCCCATGCATCACCCGTGTTCATATTTTGGCCTATTACATGTCTGTTTGTCCCATTTTTGTTAGGTTTTTCGTGATTGTTTTTCCTTTCTTTTCCCCCATTTTATATTTTTTTTCTTTTAGTTTTTGTCCGTTTTGTCTCTCGTCGTGTGTTTT